GTCCTCCACAACTAGACTGAAGAACAAAATGACAGCAACTTGTCTGTTCCCCTTCCCCCAATTCCCCAGCACTGTTCCCATCCCCCCAATTCACCAATTAAAAAAAATCTTAAAAAAAAAAAAGTTCAATGAACCCTAAGCACAAGAAACAGGGAGGAAATTATACCAAGCCACAGTATGATCAAAACTAATAAAAGGAGAAACATCTTACAAGTAGCAAGAGAAAAAAAGACACAGTGCATACAAGGAACGATAAGAATGACGTGACATTTCTCGCCGGAAACAATGCCTGTGAGAAGACAGTGGAACGTACTGAGGAGGGAAAATGGTTCACAACTTCCCACTCTAAACCCAGCAAACACATCCTTCAACATGGAACGTGAAACACTTTTTCATTCAAGCAAAGGCTGAAAGAATTCATGGCCAGCAGACCTGCCCCACAGGACAAGCTAAAGAAAGTCTTTCCGGGAAAGGAAAACGACACCAGGTGGGAACGGGGAGCGCCAGGAGGAGCGGCTGCACGGGAACCACGCGAGACCCTTTGATCCACATTCAGTGGCGTCCGCTCAGCCCCTCTGCCTGCCCACTTACCTGGCAGGAGCGAAACTGGCTGACGAGCAGTGTGCACCGCTGCGGGTCCTTCCGCCCGTCCAGGCTGTCCAGCTCAGCGGCCACCTGGTTCAGCTCCTCATCCGCATAGTAGAACTGGGCAAGCAGCTGCGGGTCCGACCTCTGCAGGGACACAGGCACAGCAGTGTGAATGGGCAGGAGGCGGTGGTCGCAGCCCAGGCCACCGACACCCAGGCAGCGGCAGTGGGGTCTCCCATCGGCTTCCCTCACAAGAAACTGTGCGCTCCTTGTCCCCTGACACACCTGTCCCGAGTCCCACAGGGACTCACAGCCCACGGGGCTGGGCCTTCTCCTCAGAGGCCCCCGAGGCTGCAGGGGCCCGCAGGACAGTGTCTCTGTGGGGAAGCGAGACGGTGAGTCACCACAGCCCCGTGATGGGACAACCCCAGGTAAGGGGCTCAGGAGAGTGGGGTCCAGGGGGCCTGACCAACAACACATCCTGACACCTGGCTCAGGGGTGGACCCCAGTCACCACAGCCCACTGGAGTCCTTCAGGCCCCAACCCACCAGGTCCCCTCAGAGTGGTGGGTGAGGTGGGAGAAAGTGTGGGGGACGCTCCCATGCAGATGTTGCTGAGATGGAGCGCCTCCCGGTGGAAACAGGTGTGCAGTGCGGAGCCCTCCCTGCATTCGTCCCTGCAGGCCTGACTGCTGGTGACAGACACCATCTGGGCCGGCAAACAGCTGGGGCTGAATTTAGGGCACTGAGTAATGGCTCCTCCAGGGGCTAAGGCTGCTCTGAGAAGGCGCGATGTGGGGGTCATGCCCACACCTGCCCAGAGAATAACTCAGGTCACTCTCTGCCCTGGCACAAAGTCACCACAGCGAAAGGCCTCGAAGGCAAACACACCAGCTGTCCAGGTGAGCTCAGCCCCTGCTGTGCGAATGTGCCCAGGGAAAGCTGCTGGTGGCCGTGGTGCCAGCTGCCAGGGAGACAAAGCCCTACCCATCACTTGCTCCTGTCAGACCGGCTGTCCCGCTCTGTAGACCCAGGTAGGGGCTGAGCCTCGAGAGGGCTTTGCACTCAGCTCCTCCGCTCACACACACACTTTCCTCTGTGTTCTGGAGAGGCTGACATGTGTGCAAGTGGGACTGGGAGGGAGACACGTGTGTCATGCATGTATGTGCATGTGTCACTATGCAGTGTAAGTGTGCCTGTGTGTACATGTGCATGAGTGTGTGCATGTGAGTGGAAGTATGTGTGTACACAGGTGAGTGTGTGGGTGCATATGTGCACAAATGTGTGTACACACATTTGCACCTACAAGTGTGTACACATGTGAACGTGTTGTGTATGAATGCACACAGGAGGGCACATCTGTGTTGTATGTGTGTGAAGGTGCACATGTGTACATGAGTGTGCTGCAAAACTGCATTTGTGAGTTCACACACAAGTATGTGTGAGCACACACGTGCATACATGCATGCACAAATGTGCGCCTACACACATGCATGTGTGTGAGCGTGCACATGTGTGAAAGAATATGCATGCACAAGTGTCCAGCCTGGGGAGAAGGCCTGGGGGGTAAGGAGCTGGCTGATGCTCCCCCTGTCCCACTGCCCCTGGAGCCTAGCCCCCCACAACCTCTCCATTATGGCCCATCGGGCCCACTTCCCATCCTGGAGCCGCCCCTTGTCTTTAGGGTAGAATCTGGGCGGACAGGGAGAAGTCAGCCTGGACAGACAACCAGAAAGCCCTGCCCTCCAACTCCCCAACCAGGGCTCGTTCTCGCATCTCCGGGCCCCACAGGCAGCTACCTGGGGAAGAAGACGAGGGAGCGGTGGGGCCTGTGGAGAGCGGGAACGGGCACGCCTGCCCCACGGAAAGGCGCAGTGAGGGAGCTACAGTGCCCAGTGCTGAAGTCACCTCCAAACCAACCTCGCAACACTCGTGTAGGTGCTACACATCTCCATGACGTTCTCCTGACTGTGCCTCATGCTCTCCCGGTGAAGGGCACGTGGCAGGAGGAACAGACGCTGCGGCTCAAAATCGAGCCACAGAGATAAGCCCTGTACTTAGCAGGTTCGGGTTTCAGTAAATTAAAGACCTTAAAACCAGACCTCAAATGTGCTGACCATTAGCAAAGAGAGCTGTAAACACACACACACACACACACACACACACACAAAATTACAGATTCAGAAAATTAAAAAAAACAAGAACTAGCAGCTATCTCCATTTTACTGAAACACAAAAGGCCTATGCTATTTGAAATTTTTAGTTATCCCCTGAGACAGCTTTTCAGCCCCCTCAAGACTGGTATTTCCAAGAAAAGAATGAAAAGTCCCCTTGTGTCCCCAACACCACCATGGGATCTTTATCGGTCGTGTCCATCACACAATCAATCGTGTCCATCACATCCACCGAGACCTCAGGCTGTGTGAGGAAACCTCAGGCAGGGGTTCCAGGAAATGGATTAACATAATGTACAAAATTCCATTCGTGCTGATTAGCAGAATCCAAAGGAAACACTGTGGTGCTCCATTTCTATTTCCAAGTTCGCAGCGTGGAAAGGAAGACACTCTCACCTGCTCAGCACTCAGGGCTAAATGGTCTAGGGCACACCCTCCCCCCCACCCCGCAGCTCACAGGCGGGACTGACAACAGAAGGACGTATTTGAGGGATGTGACAAATTGTCTTCCTCTCTGATTTGAATCAACCAGCCTGATTCAACATTTTAAAATCAAAGTTTAAATTAAACTTTTTAATGTCCCCAAGTAAAATGTTCACAACAAAGAGAATCACTTGACGTAAACAGGAAGAAGAACTCGCCCCATTTGAAATAAAAATTGTAAGGGGATAAATTAGAACCCAGCAGAAATGTCTTTTAAAATCACACGGTCAATATTTTCTCAAAGACAAATTCATAGCAGGAGAGGATTTACTGTTATAAGAAGACAGGAATAAAACTCATGAGAAAGCATTGAGCTTCAGGGGTTAGATGACTAGTGAACGCGCGACCTCCGAGAAGGCAGAAGAAAATATGCAATAACAAAACACGCTGAGGGAGTTCAGAAACGAAAAACTCGACTAGTTTAGAGCTAATTTTGTACAGTTGATTAAATCATTTGTCTAAACACCCGTGATGCGGGACAAGGATGTGGACACAGACGTGGGAGGCGGGGCAGAAGGCGGGGCAAGCTCAGCCCCGCCCTCGGGTGTCTGTCTGAACGGGCGGGGGACGATGCTGGAGTGTCCCCAGCAGCTGTGAGGCTGGTTGGCAAGGCTGGGACAGAATGTGGCACAAGCCATGAACCGCCCCCAAGGGGCTGGTGTCCCCAGCCCTGTAAGGAGCGCTGTGCCTCACCAGGGCCCATCCAGAGCCCCCCACTCACACCTCTGACCCAGATGAAGAGACTGAAGCTCAGAAAGAAAATTGATGGCCATGGTCATACTGCCGGCCACGGGAGAGCCAGAAGTCAGCCATCTTACTCTGAGGACCCTGGGAATCCCTGTGGGTGAGAGTGACCAGGGCGGGGCCCCTTCAGGCTTCTTGCTTCCCCAATAGGAAGTACACACTGCCGTGGGAGGACCTAAAAGGATGCCTCATCACCTCCCCCCAGGACCACAGCAGTCCCTGCAGAAGAGAGGATGGGGGAAGGGAGGACAGGGGGAGGCAGACAGTGGGCCAGGTGTCAGGACAGGTAGCACGGGCAGAGCAGGAAGGACCAGTGCCACCCAGTGTAGGCCCAGAGACAGGGTGTTGCCCGGGGGCTGTGGGGAGTCCCCCTTTCCCCATGAGCTGGGCTCTTAATGCTGATTCCAAGGCAGACCACCTCAAGAACCCTCACCGCCCAGGTCAGCTGGGCAGAGGCCAGAGAGCTCAGGGTGACGGCTGGATGCCTGTGGTGCCAGCCAGACCCTGGGCCTCGTGGACCAGCTTTCCAGTAAAGCGGGACCACCCACTGCAACGCCAGGAATCCAGGAGCCATGCAAACAAGCCGAGAAAGGCCTCTGGTCTCCCGCCCACATATGCCCCCCACAGCCAGCTGACCCTCAGGCCCTGGACATGGAGCTGCAGCCCTGTCCAGGAAACCCACTGGCTACTGGTCCCCAGGGCCAGAACCTGTCACTGCCTCCAAACACCCTCTTGCTGTTCTGTACCACCCTTCCATCCCCACCGAGGCCTCGCGTTTCTGGGCGACCATAACCTATATCCCCAAAGTTGGGCTTGTCCACATCGGTCCACCCCAGGGGCTGCCGGCCCAGCCCCTCAGCAGCCCTGCTGCCAAGGTAGGCACACGCTCCTGTGGTCAGAGCGCAGCCCTACTGCCCGGCCCGCCAATGGCTGGTGGCTGGTTGCTCCTGCCTCCACTCCCACCCAGCTGCCTGCCTTTTCACCCAGGGCGCTGCAGACGGCACACTGGTCAGCAGAAGGGACCCCAGGCACTTCATCCAATCAACGGCCACAGCTCCTGCCGGGGGCCCTCCCACGTCCACTATCTCAGGACTCGGTACCTGCCTCCCTGTGGCCTTCAGGCGTAGGTACGGAGCTGACCCTGGTCACATGGCCATCCCGATGTCCCCTCAGCCTGCCCCACACACCCTGGTCAGGGAGCCCCAAGGCCAGCGGCTGCCGCCTGGGATCGGGTGGTTTCCGGTATTGGTGGGCGGGTGCGGGCGCAGTCCAATCACATAGGCAGCAGGTGTGTATGTCACCCAACTGCCATCACTGCCCAGAAGGGGCTGAGTGGCTTGTCTCACTCAATAGGTTTTCAGGGTTCATCCATGTGTGGCATGTGTCAGCACATCATCCTTCTGTCACCAAATCGCACCCCACTGTGTGGGTATGTGACATCTGTTCATCCGCTCACCAGGTGGTGGCATCTGGGTGGTTTCCACCTTTTGGTGACTGTGGAGAAGCTTCTGTATGGATGTGTGTTGGCCATTTCTTCTGAATACAAACCTAAAGGGCGTTTCCTGGTCCTTTGGGGACCCTCCACTTAGCCTTTTGAGGAGCTGCCAACAGTTTGCCCATGGGTTCTGCCTCTCCCCCGCCAGCAGTGAGCAGCCCATGTCTCCACCTCCTCCCCACGAGGCTCTGAGTCCTTGGTTCTAGCCATCCCAGCAGGCATGAAGGGCCACCTCCACGGGCTG